CAGAGAGGAGTCCTCCCTGTCATCAAGCATCTTATAGAAAATAATCTCTTGTTGGGAAAGAAATTGTCAAAGTCACCATGATATAGATTTTACTATAATTCTGTTGAGGAAAATAATGTAATTAACTTTCTGACTGTCAGAGCTGACCTCTTTTCTCTGCTAATATTTGGACAAATACAATTCAGGCAGTAAAAGATGCTTAAAAAAACATCTCTTGACTGACTTTGTGTTAGATGAAAAGGAGTAATTTTGTACTTTGAAAATATAGCATCCTTTAGGAAATTATCTTACCCACCCAAAAAAGTATTATTGGTCTGCGTCATACATTCCAACACTGATAGAACATTGAACATGTGAGCCAGGAGCATGTCCAGACTTTCTGGACTGTGAGGGGCCGGACTCGGGCACTGACTTATGCAGGGGCGACCTCAGGTGTGATGTATGCACAAACACACAATATCAGTAATTTACCCTTTCTAACTTTAAATGGTAAATGGACTTGAGCTTGTATATTTATTTTCTAGTCTTCTGACTACTCAAAGCGCTTTTACACCGCAGGTCACACCTACACATTCACACACTGATGGCAGAGGCTGCTATGTAGTGACTATCAGAAGTAACTAATCCATTATTATGTAAGCTCAAATCCATTTACCATAACCATTAACCATTTAAAGGTTGCTGCACTTGTGCACTGCATTAAGTGGACAAAAAGGATTCACAACACAGAATATTTTGTGAAAACATTGAAACATCAAATAGAAATGAACATGTTGGCTGTTTCACCATTGCACTGACTCTAAAGACACACCAACAGAGATTTTGCCAGGGTGAATCAAGCTAAACTTAGCTTTAATAAATAGTTGAACTCTACCGAGAGAAGTGGGCAAAGATCTACCGTGTACTCTGCCAGAAGCTTGTTGACTGCAGCCAAAAGTAGCTGATGGAGTTTAAAAAAGGCAGAAAGGAAGTGAGCAAAACACTAGCATTGCTGAATCGTTATTTTTGACTCTGCAGATTTAGTTTTACGTTCAAAGGATGCACAAAGAATTGGATTAAGAAAACCACATTTTGGGGGCACAATGGTTAGTGTCCATGTATGGAGCCTTTGGTCCTCCAAGCAGGCAGCCCAGGTTCGAATACCCACCTGTGGCTCCTTTCCAGCATGTCATTCCCCACTTTCTCTTTCCCTGATTTCCGTCTCTATCCACTGTCCTATCTCTCCATTAAAAGGCACAAAAAAGCCCAAAAATAAATCTTTAAAAAAAAAAAGATAAACACATTTTGATGTGTTTCTCGAGAAATTGGCGACCATTTTCTTGTGACATGTCAGGGTGCTGTTAATCACTACACTTTTATATTAAAGGTTCTAAGACAGATAACGTACGGTTTCTGAAATCAAAGCAAAACAATTCATTATTATCATCAATAGTTTTACATAAAGGCCATACATAAACGTGTGTTTCAAAATCAAAATATATCTGTAATTCCACTTAAACAATGACATACATAATCCTTACTCGTGTAACAGGTTCTTGTTTGCACCTGTATCTTTCTTTTAGTCTTTCATAATTACACAAAATAACCTGGAGATTTATGGTTGTCTGCAGGGACGGCAGCAGGATTTTTTTTCTCCCAGTGCTGAGGGCTATAGCTTGACTAATATGTTGGGGTGCTATTAATAGTCGATTTTCATTTTTTATTCTTTAAATTCTCTCTTTTCTTCCAACAAAAGCAGACATACTTAACTGGGGCTAGACAAATTTGTGACGGGGCTATAGCGCCCCCCTAGCCCCGGTGTAGCGCCGTGCTTGGTTTATCGGTGAGCACCACAGGACTCAATCTATTTTCTGTTATCCTATATATTTTGTATTTCGTATATATCTTTGAAAACCATTTTATACTTAGCTTGCACAGTGGTTCAGAGAGAAACGTCTTTTTGATTTTTCTGACCAGCACGTATGGAAAAAATTGACAATAAAGATGACTTTGACTTGTGATGCAGTCTTATTTATCGTATTTTTTTGTGTAGATTTTTACTTGTCTAGTCTGTCATGTTATAGAGTCTGTTGCCACTTGAGGATATGTTGATTTAACTTGGATGTCCTGTGCAGGTTGTCATTTCATTCTTCATTGCAGCTAGCTTGCCTTGCACGGCAAATTAAGCTAATTTACGTGCACAGCGAGTTATTCTAAGGTACTTGCTGTATTATAATTTTAAAAATGTGTAGGGTATGTAGCGGGCTGTTTTGTATGGCCTTTTCTTTGCCAGCCAGAATAAATCATGGTCAGGGAAAATAATTCCTGTGTCACAGCATCAGAAGAAGCCCACTGGTTGAACAGTTTCACTTTTAAAATGTCTGCTCATCTTTGCAAATACATTAAAATTAAATTAAGTTTAATCAAGAAAAACAACTGATAAGGTTCAGAGAAGGGGGGCTTCATGGGGGCCCAACACCTCAATTATGCCCCGGGGCCCCAAAGCCATTCAGTCCGGCCCTGATTGTAGAGAATACAAGACAAACAGGACAGGTTCACCTCATTCATGAAACGGCCTAGTTGATAAATAATCTCCATTTACAGCCCACTACCACCACCCAGCACCTCCCCTGTATTAGTACCGACCTCCTCCAGCAGGTAGACGGTGTTCCTGCAGCTGATCATCTTGGAGGTGAAGGAGGAAGTGGTTGGGGAGCTCCAGTCCTCCTGAACCTCCTGCAAAAAATCGGAAACGGACACACACTCCGGCATGGTGCTCCTCAACCCGGGACACACCGGGATCACCAGGAACAGGACCGGAACAGACTAACAGGGTCCGGTACTGACAGACAAGAGCCACACAAAAGAGCGAGGAAAGGCAGGCGGAACCCTACAACCGATCCCAAGAGGCAATTATGATAAAACAATAAAATCCTTGTATAGTAAGGTGCCAAATCCCATTAGAGCTGTTTCCACAATCCCACAGCCCCGTGAAGATAATCCACCGTAAACCGGCAGATAAAACCGGTAATCAGAGACCTGATCCGGTGACTCTCCGTCAGTGTGACTTCACTGTGAACCGCAGCATCAGCCTCTTCTTCCGCCAAACAAAAGGTGATTAAATCCAGCTGGAAATAAATCCCATTAGCGATGATTCACAGAAACACCCAAAGTAACACACTCCCCAGTCAGTAACGCGTTAAAACAAAGCGAGTCTCTTTTGCTTTGAGGAGGATTCATTCAGAGAAAAAAACCCACAAACCCGCCCGGGTCTCCGTGCGTGAACCAGCTGACAAAGAGCGGCTGAGGAGGTGAGCAGAGTACCAGACCCCCCCGGGCACCCGGACCGGCTTCAGATGTGGGAATCAAACCGGTGTCTGCTCTCCGCCCAGGGATCAGTTAAATGTTTCACTATCACCTGATTTTTTTTCTGCTTTTCCTTCTTTATTCAACCCGCATGGAGTGGCGCGTTCACGTTGCAGAGCGGCGGGGCTGTGTGCCGCGGGAGCGCGCATTGCTGACCGAGCACGGAGTAAACCCCATTACAGCAGGGGATGTTTAATTCATGTCAAACACAAGCAAATAGTAAGGATGAGGATCAGGGAAGGCAAGAAAAAATAATAAGGGGAGTCAATTTTTTCCATATTGCATTTTCAGTAGACAAGCAAAAGGCAGAACAGGAAGGTTGTTTGTTTAAAATAAAAAAAATCTGCCTCCTTTTTCCTGGTCCATGGAGGGTGAAATTGCGATTTAAATATTTTATCAAGCCTTTTATTTTTAAACCTTCCCTTAAACAGGAGAGCTGAAGACATTTACAGTACCCCAACTAGTAATCAATTCATGGCTTCATTAAGTGACTCTAGATCTACAAATAACCTAATAACAATAATAATAAATATCTAATTAATTGAAAGCCCAATATAGACAACCAAAGCCCTTCTGTAAGGCTGCACTTCAGGCTTAATGCTAATATCAACATGCATACTGTGTAAGTTGAGCTCGTGTAATGTTTATCTGCTAAGTTTAGCATGAAGGCATTGCTTAAAAACTAGAGCTGAAGGTAATGAAAGTGCAGTTTGTTTGGGATTTTATGGATGTAAAATCAAAATAATTGACAAATAAATGTTTCACTGCATGATGGTGCTACATTTAAAGTTGTGATTTAAAGATGAATCAAATTATTACAGTTTATCCTGATGAGAATTTGAATCCTTGACATTTCACAGCAATCCAAGAGTTGTTGAAATAGTTCACTTTATTCCACCAACATGAACCTCGATGTGATGCTTTTGGGACAACAGGGGGAAGTCTCTAGTCTGTTCTCTGAGGGACATAAACAGTTGAAACCGTTTCAAAGCAATCATATGTAGTAAGTAAAGTAACCAATGTTGTTTGAAGGCAGACACCGCTTTTTTCTGCAAAAAACTAAACCAATTCTATTCCTCTTACATCATTTCCTTTCTAATCTCCGGTGCAAAAAGCCGCCGCCATCATCATCTGAGTCTCAGAGGAAACAATTAGAGCGAGCCTCCGTAAACAAAACATTCCAAACTACTTGTTAAATCAGCCTGCAGACGAGGATGAAGTCTGACACACGAGTCAAACCGTTCTTTCTCATTAACAAGAAATTAAATTATCTCATTTTGAGAAAACGGTCATTCCTGCTCTCCAAAGGACGATCCCTTCAGACTTAATCAAACCCAAACATCTCTCCTGTAGGATTCCCTCCTGCAGAAAAATCTTCAACATTTTAGGAGCAACTAAAAAACCTTGATGTTGCCTATAATAAACACTATGGTCTCTAGGGGGCGCTTTAAGATTTAATAGGGTATATTTACGCTAAATTGTAACTAAAATTCAGCAGCTTCTCTGGATTTAATCATTTAAATAATTTTTTTGGTCGAACATTTTCAGGAGGAACTTAGAAATGCAACATTCTGAATGATCTGCTCATTTGTGTTCAAGACTAAGATCACACTGATTGTTACTCACTGAATTATTTTTTACACTCTTTTCAGTGTCACTTGACAGATTTTAATACGTTTTTATTTAAAATCCATAATTCAGTCCAAAAAGGATCACACTTGTACAATTCTGTATTTTGACTGCAGTTCTAAGTAAGTGCAAAATCTGAATACACACATACATTGATATATTCATTATTCTTCTCTCAAATTTAACTCCACAAAAATAATCCATCATCAAACACAGATTATTAATTTAGTGATATTGTCATACACTTAAATCTGGAGAGGTGCTGATATAGAGAGTACGTCTATATACACAGTGAAAGAGAGTTTCAGTGAAAATAAATTGATCAATTGTAAAATAAGGCTCAAGGTGGTGCATTGGTTAGTGAGGAGGCTCCTGGTTCGAATCCCAGTCGGACAGGAGCCTCACTGTGTGGAGTTTGCATGTTCTCCCTGTACATGTGTGGGTTCTCTCCATGTACTCATGGTGCATTCATGTGGTGTCGGACACATCGGTAAAATCCAAATGAACGCTCAAGTGGGAACAAAAACTCAGAAACTCAGAAAAGAATTAGGTGCCCGATTTGCCGACTTGACATCAGATGGGGGGCAAAATATGTTTTGTTAATATTAACAAACGTTTTATTAATCAGTGTATTGCACTTAAACTTTTTGTTCAAATTCCGACTTTCCGAGCTGAAATCATGTGAACACACTTAAGTCAGAAGAACGACTTGACAACTCAGAAACTTGGACCACCCAAGCGGCACATGAATGCAGCATCAGGCTTCCTCCCACAGTCCAAAGACACGCTCGTTAGATTAACTGGTGACTCTAAATGTGAATGTGAGTGTTGCCGGTTGTCTGTCTCTATATGTCAGCTCTGTGATTGACTGGCGTTCAGCCGAGGGTGTACCCCGCTTCTCGCCCAATGACAGCTGGGATTATATCCAAACGGGTAAAGCGGTACAGATAATGGATGGATGGGAATATAAATATAAAATGTGAGTTAAATCCACATGAATGTGTTCAGTAATTTCCTCTTGTGATGGACAAATTTGACAATAACCAGATCTCTCATTATGCTCCCATGTCCAAAGGTGTTTGTATTTAAACAGGCATGCTGGGTAATGTAGTGCAGTTAGTGTAAACACATCAAATTAGTTTAAGTGATGTTTAAATATGAATCATACTCAATAAGACTTCAGTCCACATTAAACTGGATCAGTTCAGGGCTAAAAACCTGAGACAGTCTATCACCAGAGACCAGCAGGAGTAATTAAGATTCCCCGCAGGTCTCGTCACCCGTTGACCATGAGGTTGGAGATTTGCGCCGGCAGCGTGTAGACGATGAGACCGAGGAAGAGCGTGAGGACGGCGAGGATGACGAAAGCGATTATGTATTTCTTGAACTTCTTCCAGATGAGGAAGATGAAGGTCTTCAGCGGGTTGACAAACCAGTTGAAGCTGGTGGTGGGGCGACTGGAGAGACAACAAGAGACCATTTACACCTGAGTTTACGGTATCCACAGGTTTGTTCAGATCATAGTTTAGAGAGTAATTTTATGATAAAACAAGTACATTTCAAAATAATTGATGTACTTACAGGTTATGTAAACACATTCAAATATTCACTGTGAGCATTTCTTGAAGATTTACTCTGTGCCAAAGTATTTAAAGTTTTCCACAGTTTCAACAAGTTGGCTGTCAAGTGAAAGAAGAACCTGTCTTTGTCCTGCTCACTTTTAAGAGCGAACACAGCAAACAAAGTCCCAGAGAGTCAAATATGGAGGAATTTATCAAACCTTCTTACCAACAACTTTTATGTAAGTCTCGTTGTATAGAAGAGAAAAGCAGCTAAGCTACATGAAGGAGACATGAGCAGTTTTCACATATGTACTTCTGAAAAATTTTGAGAGAATTTCAGAAGGACAGCCCCTGAAATTCTGTTGACTTGGTCATTCTCACGTGTACCTCACAGCGGAAAAAATTACAGTATAAGATCAATTAATAGAATTGCAAAGTACTGTATTTCAATTCCTGTAATCAAATTTCTTCTTTAGCAGGAATGTTTCAGATGCTGGTATCAGTAAAATGCATACTAGAAGTTTCTGTAGGGATTTTTTTACACTGCTGTCACATAATAAGGACGGTGGATTTTGAGAATTCACACAGGAGGTTTTTTTGAATTGTCAGTATCATTAACAGCAAGTATAACCAGTTCAAGTATTTATATAGGCCCTGACTTGTTAACAGTGTGAGTGTGTACATGTCATACTTAGGTTTGTCCAAAGGCTCCGGCTCTTTCCGGGCTCGTCCCACAGGGTTTGCCTCTGCTTGCTCCAGTGTCACCAGCTGAAGCTCCGCCTCCACCTTTCCCTTCAAACGCACACAGTCATGATGTCGCCACAAATAATCAAACTAGAGTTTGAATCAGAATTTAAATTTGGACATTTCTTGTACAAATGTTTTGTATCACAAGCCTAACAGGAATGGGAAGCATTTGATTTAAGCTGCTTTTACAATTTTCTTTTACAATCACTATTTCATTCTCAAAAAGTATGCAAATTCAGACATCCTGTAGAAAAAAAACATAGAAATCACCAAACTAGCAACCTAATACCAGTTTGGTTTAGAGTTTAAGGATTGCATCTCTATGGAGATAGTATTCTCTGTTAACACATGAGTTTGTTTGGCAGCCTTAGCAGTACTATGAAGGATTTTTTAAAGTTTTTTTTACCATTAACAAGTAAGTGTTGCCACTGCTGTCAATGTACTCCAGGTCCTCCTTCTTCATATTTCCCCTCTTGTCCTTCTTTTTCTTCTTCTTCTTTTTCCCCTTCTTCTTGGCCTCCTCCCTCTCCTTCTCCTCCTTCTCAAAGTCCTCGGCCGTCTTAAGGCGGGTTAACGGCCACCAGCCCTTCATCTTCTTTGCACGAAAGATGGAGAATCGAGGGCTGGCGCGATCCTTGGCCATGTCAATCTTACATTTACCGGATGTTTTTGCTGGACGCACCATGTCGTACAGACGAAACTCAATGGCACCTAGAAGATTAAGAAACAAAGGGCCAATTGGGCCAAGGGCCAAGAGGATGTAAGCATCTTAATTATTACTTTATCTCGGTAAAGAGCTCAGAATTTTTTGGTCTATGTGAAGTTGCTGGATGCCATGATGATTCCTTTATATTGAACTAAGATGGTGCATGAAAAACATTTTAAAAAATCAGAAAATTTTTGATAAAGGACTTCTTCCTTTATCATGTCTCTCATACAAGTCTGTTTTAGTTAAACTCTTTGATAGAAATCCTGTTAATATCCTGTTAATCCTGTCGGTCATCATGGCTCACCCAGGAAGTCGTTGGCTGAGATGCGATCGTAGTCCCAGACCTGCAGCGACATAACAGCTGGCTGTCTGAACTCTGACTCCTCTAGAGAGAAGAAGGACTCCTTCTTCTTAAACACCACCTCTTTCTATAGGAACAAACAAGGAAAATAGTCAATTCTGCCACTTTACAAGGAAACAACCATGTGCAGAGGCTATAGCCCCTCGAGGTGGGCCGCTTTCTTTAATCCGACCTGTGGTGCCATTCCTGCAGGTCATTCCTATTACCTCTACCCAATTTTAGACACTGTCCACTGTCCTGTCTCTACAATAAAGGCATAAAGGGCCCCAAAAAGAAATCTTAAAAAAATAAGAAATCTAGCAACTCGCTGGTTTCAGCTCCTATTACTTGATTTTCAGCTTTTCTCTTTTCAATAATTAAAAAAGCGGGGGTTTGCTAGTTGCACAAAAATAAATACTTGAAAGCATCCCTTTGAAATTTCCAGGCAGCAATTGAAATTGTCTTAAACAATTTTTTTTCATTTCATAGACAAAACGAATGACTGCTGCATTGTAAAAATAACAAGAGGAATCATGAAGACAGAACAAGTGGCATCAGCAAAAGTATAGGAGCAAAGTTCAGGAGGGCACTATTATCGTGAAATTAAAAAGTTTACCAACAGTCGGTCCAACTGTGTGTATGTAGTGTATGTGTGTGTGCACCTCAGTAGGAAGGTAGTCAAAGCGAAATATGAATCTCCAGTTGAAGTTTCCTTCTCCAGTCAGAGAATTGAAGTGGACATCTGTCTCCTGTTTGTCTCCTTCCAGTCCCCTTATCCATCTGCAAAGACAACAGCACAAAAGCTATTGAAAGTAAATTCAAGGTTTTCCTCCTCCTCCTTTACATTTTTGTATCCTCAATATATACATAATCATGCTACAACTCCCAATATTTATCCTGCCACAAACCGGAGGAGCCAAAATAGGGGTTTCTTACACTAACATTATACTGTAGTGTTTTGATGTGACTGTGGGTTTCACTGTTAGACTACAGCTCAGATTTACATTTTAGTAAGTCTCTAATTAGGTCACACCTAATCAGAGACCACCATGTTTGTCATAACTGTAAGTCTGGGGAATTTGGTTTCTTTTCGCTGTTATGGACTTTTGTGTAAAATTGAGTTACAATAGCATTAGAAAAAATCATCAGAAGTTTCACTAATAAACCTGTGTAAAAGGCTCTCTGATAATTTCTCATCTCAAAGACTAGTCTGCTGCTCCAAGCTCTCCACCTAATAGGAGTGTGAAAAAAGACCTGTTTGAGTGGCTCTTTAAAATCCCTGTTTCAGCCAGCAGGGGCACTAGTGAGCTTGAAACACTTACACACCTGCAGATCCCGTGTTGACAAGTTATACAAAAAACTTCACCAGAGGGGTTTGGGCATGATTTTAGCATGACTGAAAGCATTACCATCAAGACCTCAAACATGACCCATTTCTGCTAAGTGGTACCCCGTTAGTGAATGTGAAATAACTTAAATCCTCTGTTCGATAGGAAGACAAGTACACACAGAGAGCCACACACTAGGAGAGGTCACTAGGGAAGATGCAGAACTAATCTGTGTGTGTGTGTGTGTGTGTACCTATGTGGTGTGTGTGTCTATCAGTGTTTTAGTACTCTAGTCCTGGACTCTGACTCAAGTTGGACTCATGAAACCATGAAGACTCACAGATAATGAAGAGTTAAACCTTTGCTAAGAAACATTTTACATCATTAAATAAATTAATTAATTACTGCGCTAAAGGGGATAACTAAAGCTTATCTGGGAACTCGGCTCAGACTTAACACTGAGGACTCGGGGTCAGGTAATGGGGACTCATCTTGGACTTGGACTCGAGACTTGACTCGGGCTGTGTCAGGACTGTGATTTGACTAATACACTCAAGTGTATAAGTGTCTGTGTGATTCTAACCCCTTAACGTAGATATCTGAGGATGGGTCACCGGTGAATGGGTTGACGTCATCAAGAAAAACGTCATCAGTGTTCCAAATGATCACACGCAGCTCGTACCTGTCGTCATGGAAACAACAGCAAAGGTTAAACATTGTCTTCTTTTATATTCTACTCGACTATACTCTGCTGCTCTCAACTTGACTGTACTGTATGTTGACCTACTGTTCAGGTTTGCGGGGCTTTATGTCAACAGGAGGCGGAGCTGGGACGTCAGTAGGAAACATGTCCACCCACATATGAAGGTAACCCTGTAACACACACACATATACACAGAAACATATCACACACTGCTGATGACCAGAAGCTATATGCTGACATTGCCACTGTTGTTACAGGCTGAGTACTAGTTATTGTTTGTGTGATAGTTACCTGTGGCAGTCCAGGGTTGTCCTGGTTTATTAAAGATCGGATCTCCACGTGTTCTTGGACCAGAGGAACAGCTCCTGGGATGAACTCTTTCATTTCCCCCCAGCGCTGCAGCACGCTCAGGGCTGAATGTTCCTCCATCTCTGCTTCCTCCTCTGGAGTCCGCTGGTTCTTTTTCAGAAGAGCTGATACAAACAAACACAAAAACACAACTTATTAACAAAATGCAATCACTGTTGATCGTCTGGTTTAACAGGAGGTTCCTAAGGTATGAGGGCAGCAGCATTTATGATGCATGATGCGTGATACTGTTTTTATGTCTGCAGAAGGAAATTTATGGACTGCTTTGCTCATTATTTTCATAAAAAAGGCACACATAATGACTGCATCTACTGGTCTGTCTTTCCTACCTTCAGGTACTGCATCAGGTGGGATCTTGAAGATTTTGTTGAGAACTTTGACTTCAGACGGTCTGTACTCTGGAGACATAATGCCGTTCTTCCTGCAGAGCTCTGCCAAGATGGCCGACGGCTTCTTGGCATCCCGCCACTTATTGTAGCCGTCACTTGAGAGAAGAAAGGGATACAAAAATCTACAAGTAAACATAAAAAGGATTGGCCTCTCTTCTGACAAAGAACATGGCACAAACAGTAGTTACCGACCGTACCATTGGACCGCTGGAAAAAGTTGCCCATATTAATTTTGCTCAATGGAAGAAGACAGAGATGCGTTGTCCATATTAATATACAATCAATGGTTCAAACAAATTGTGATTCTAGCATAGTGTAGTTCTGATTCTTATATGATGGGGTTATGATCCATGTGTCTCTGTTTATGGACTAATTGATGTTTTGTTATTTGTTGCATTTAGGTGATGTACTAACGCATCATAGTAAAGTGCCAGACTGCAGCTGGCTCTGTGGCGGCTGTAGAACCGGTTCTCCAGATCGACTCTTGTCTCCCCAATGACGTCATCAGATCCCAGCATATCGTGATCCATCACTTGGATAACCAAATCCGTCTCCAGGGGGAAAGAAATGTTGAATTCAAAGACTCTAAAAGACAGTAACAGACATTCAGAAAGTTAGACAATCTGGAAGACAGAAAGTCAGAGAGGGTCGTACAGGTAGACGGACAGGTACTGACTCTCCAAATGTTGGGTTGAGCTGTTTGGGGATGTATCGATCCTCGGTGTCCTGACTCTGCTCTCCAACGTTGACCACCAGATACGGGTCTGCTTTACCATTCGGGTCTGTTGGAGTCAGAGTGGTGGCCTACAGGACAGAAGTTCAAGAGTATGAGTCAAACATTCCCACAAAAGGGAAGAATGCAATTTAAGTTGGTTTTTTGAACGTAAACAAATGAGTGTCAACTGCAATATTTCTAAGCATTGTTTAATTTAAAAGCACAGTAAAACTGGTAAAAGACAGACAGGTACCTTAACAATATAGACTCGGACCAAGACTTTAATTGGTGTGTTTTTGGGGATTCCATTCGTGATCCGACAGGTTGTGTCTTCTTCATCTTCTTCGTCTCCCGAATCAATCGGATAGACCAGGAAAGACCCCTGATCATGAAAATAAATTATTAAGAATATTCATTTGCAGTACAAAAACAAACAAACATAAAGCCCTTCATCCACCGTACCTTGTAGCTTCCCATGAATCTCTCCTCGTCATCGTCATCATCATCCTCACCGCTTACTCGGCCTTTATACAGCGGAAAGATCCGCAGCCAGTCCTGAAACTGACTGAACTCTGACTCCAGATCACCTCCGTACAACTGGAGCACACATACAAACAAAAGCAGAAGAAGAAAAATGCAACACTTGTCTTTACTCGATGTCGATAAGACTAAAACTAAGAGAAAATGTGCAGAAAAATAAAACATAGTTGCATTAGCAAAAGAAACATTCACAAGCAACACATCAGATTCAGTGTTCTTTCGTTGATGGTGCCAGTGCTGCCTTCACTGACAAACTGGACTGGACTCACACCTTTAGTGTAGCAATCTTCTTGCGTTTTGGAGGCTCAATTTCCACCACCACTATTTCCTCTTCCTCCTCTTCAATATTTCCCATGGTCATATTCCCTCCATCTGAGCAAAAGAAGAGAACATCATCAAATCTTAACTAGATAGACAAATACAGAAAAAATATGAGGCAACGTCTGCAAGCTTGTTCAGGCAGTCAACTCGAGCTGTACTCATTTCATACCTGGCAAGCCTCATTCTCAACAATCACCTGACAACACCTTCTTCCAATTAGCAGTCTATTTAATCTGCAAGACTTCCAGTCTCTCTCTCTACTCTTTCATTGCCAGCTCTGACCTGCAGCAGTACTGCACTTTTGCTAAGCTCCACCACCACCTCAGCATCCACCTGTGCGCTGCGACTGGAGGGTATCATCCCATCACTCCTCAAATTTCTGCATGTAGATTAAAACTGTGAGGAGTGATGAGGTCGCTAAACACAAACGATGATCTGCTGCAATAAATATTTTAAATGATACAAATGGGATTTGTCTGACTGAAATGCTGTTTAACGACTGTTATATCAAAATAGTAGTTCAAACTCTACCTTTATCTGCTTCTGCCTCTGCCATCTCCTCCTCCTCAACAGCCTACAGACAGTAAACACATCAAACATGTTAAGTTCTAGAGGAATGGAGTTTAGTTGTTCATTACTCCATATTATTTAATACTTCCATATTTGTCATGTATTTATGCATCATACTGAACCCATTTAATATGGGTTGTTTTACATTTTCTGCCTTTAATGAAGTTGCACACATTTATTCAGATGGTAAAATAGTGTCTCACTTTTCTCTCCAACTCCTGCACTGAAGCATAATATTTGGACCACCAATCCAACTCCTCCTGCTCAGGTGGCTCCTCCTCTAACTCCTCTCCTTTGTCTTTAAGCTTGTTCAGAGGGCCCTGAGAGGGCAACAAAGTTTAAACGTCAAAGCATCCTTTAATTATGTCTGTCCAAAATCTGGTCGGAGTTAGGGTTAGGGTATTTGTTTGACATTTCTAACACATTGGAGAGAAAGTTGTCAGTATTAAAATACGTACATTAAGCAGCTTGATGGGGTTCATAGGAATCTTTGACTGAGTGATCGACAGACCGCTGAGTCCGATATTCTTCACTGTCGACAGAGGTCTGATCTTCATTGAGTTTTGATTTGCTGAAAAGACGAAGATAGAAACTGTCCATAAAAACTTTAGGAGTAAAGTCCATTTTATCAGAGAAGTGAACTTAAAATAGCTGAGCACAGCTGTGGAAAAAAACATCAGGTCACAAAGCTTCAGTCTGCATGGTGAAGTTGGGATTGATCTTGGCAAGTTATTGTCAAATATGGATTAAATGCCGGATCATTTCAGCCCTTAAAAATAACCATAAGCAATATAGCAAAGTAAGCAATATAGGCTGTCACTTCTTTTCTAGATATTACCTTTTGGTTTTGGTTTTGGTTTTTGCTCTTCCTCTTCCTCCTCAGGCTCCCCCTCAAGCTCAGCAGGGGCATAGGCCATGAGGCTCTGGACGACGTGCGTCCCGACAAGAGCAAGTCGACCAAATGCTCGCTGCTCCACAACGAACAATGTCAGAGGAGGGTGGAGGTAGGTCTGCTCTGGCAGTTGCTGATTGGACCAAACAAATGAAGAAGGAGGAAGACCGATATTGGACACTCACCGTGACTTTGCTCTGTATTTATACAATGGATCAACCAGGTGTGCCCACAGTTGTCTACATTTATGTAAGCCAGATCTTTTGACCTTAGTAAAGATAACTTCTGTCTAAAATCATCACTAATACTGACCACGTCCATGTAGAGGACCAGCTCTTTGAAGTTTGGGTGAGTCTGGTAACTCTCAATCTCTTCAGACTCCAGCTGTCGTCCGGCACACTCCACCTTTACCATCGGCCGCTCCACCTCGAACAGCTGAACCCGTTTTAGCTCCCTCACACCCCAGAACAGCACCTGAATGCGCACACAAATGCAAATGTTACTCCACCCATCACCCACCAGGCCACTGTCCGAAAAACACACATACATATCTGCAACACCAAACCGTCAGTGTTTGCAACCTCAATCCTGAAGGTCTTCAGAACAGGTCGGACTCCGTCCGGGATGAAGTAACATCTCTGCTCCTCTAGGTAGGTCAGTTCTTGCGGGTCCACACTGCTTGGGAGAAGGGGCTGCAGAGAGTGAAATGATTGTTTATGATAGATTCCCGGTTTAATTCATTCATACATTTTTTTGTGGTGTTCCCAAAAATTCAATCTTTGGCGCTTTGCTTTTCAGTCTGTACATGCTGCTTATACTGTATCTTATCATCATCCACATATTTGGCTTTTTTGTGTATCTAGCCAAATTTCCAACTGGATGTATTAGATTTTAAAAAATACTGCTTGTTCCTACACATTGAACATCGCAAGAACACAACCCTTCTCAAAGTGGTTAATGATATTGAATTATATTTGGTTACTGAATCATATCCATTCTGCTACTACTCAACGTTTGTGCTCCTTTCAATTCGATCTCTTCATTGAGAGGCTAGAAATGTTGGTTGGTGGTTGAGCATAGGTTTAGTCAATAATATTCACACTTAAAGGGGAACTCTTAATGGAAATTCTATTCATAAAAAGTTTGAATTTGATGTGGTGTTCACCAGGGTCCAGTCTTGGGTCCTCTACTTTTCTCTCTGTACAATCCTCCAGTATATCTCCAATCTCTCTGTCTTTAGACCAATTTTTTTTATATATCTATTTTGGGGCTTTTTGCCTTTACATGATAGGATAGTGGATAGACAATCGGGAGAGAGAGTGGGGAATGGCACTCTGGAAATGAGCCGAATCTAGGACCTGAACCCAGACCGCCAGCTCGGAGGATTATGGCCTCCGTTTATATGGCACAACGCAAACACGACTATCAGTTTTACATCTTTAGACCAATTTTGAACTTTAACTAGGACACATATGTAATACACTGCGGAATACTACCATACTAAGTGGCTTTCTAACAGAGAAGTCAAGCGCTGAGAATTTTCTCTAGGAAGCATTCACTCACCCCATCATTGATTTTAAGGTAGCCTTTTCTTAATAGTAGCTATATTAGGTGGGACAAATGTCTGATAGAATGTACAGTTTATCTTCCGTGTCTGCACTCCTGCCAGTGTCTCGTTAATGGGGCCGCGCTGACCGACTAATAGAGTGGCTAATACACTTACTATTGACGAGTACCTCATACAACCCCACTTCAAGAAGAACTAACTATCTACCTCTCCAAACTTGGAGTAGTCCAGCTCAATGAGCTCGAAGGCAGCCAACAGCTCCCCAGCAGGCACCTTTCCCATGCTGATGTCATAGAAACGCAGGTGGGGCTTCTTGTAGTACTGCTCCACAGTTTTAAACTCCGGCTCAGCAAAGGTTCGACCCAGAGGCTTGGGAGCCGCCTGTACCCAAACACACACAAATAAACAGCATCATATCACTTTCTAAATGTGAAGAGAGAGCTGCAGAAGAATATGGAGGAAAATAATAACATTAATGCTGAAATTACCATTTGGTCTTGGTCGTAGATGTTGATGATTATGAGGGGAGGGTCTTGTGTAAGATCCTCCTTTGTTCCCTCCAGAAGAACTCTGTCAAATAGCAAACACTCGCACCAGGCTGGAGACAGGGTGCTAGACATGACCTGACAAGACAAAAGCAACGCATAACATAAACAACGTATTAAAGGGGCATTACACAGATTTATAAACATTAAGTTCAATTTACCAGTAAAGATTATTCAGACGCTTGCTGTCCATGCTGAATGCGCTAAATATTTAATTCTTTGCTCTGTGAATTTCAGCTTTTCCTTGTGAACAATATGACATCTAGTGCTTTTGTATTGAAGGTGGACAAATGGAAGTGTGGTGCTTTATATTGACAAGTTATTGATTCAAATCACAAGAAATGACCCATGCCTTGAAGAGCGTGCTTTTGTACCGGTTTCATATCAGAAAAGTTCATCGAAGACATGGAAATTCAAAAGCCACCACAAAAGGCTGGAGTTGTAGAATTTGTTAGAAAAGGGTGATTTGAAAATAAAGACAGTTCTTGCAAACCAGCGTTAGATTAGTTTTATGTAAGCAGACTCATCAGAGAGATCATAAGAATTATGATTAACAACAATCATTTTTTACTGTCTGACTAGTTTTCCTCTACAAGGACAATTTATTGTAAAAGAAAAGAACACAGATGTGGTGATACTGAGCTTTAAGGACTTCAGAATGTATCACAGCAAAGTTATCCTATATTTGTAAGCAAGATTTGATTGGTTCTATTCATTTCTGAGAGCAATCAATGTATGTGAAATCACAAATTCAATACTCTTTTCCTGGAATAACAAAAGATAAACTTTTAACCAGTGTGATGGTTGTACCTACCCTGGTGACCTGACACTGAGTTCCGAAGACAACCTTGGCGAAGGGATCCGAAAGGCCGTTGTCATCAGCAGCCATTAGGCCACGCCCCTGATACAAGTGACATCGTAGCTGGTAGTACTTGCTGTCTGCAGAGAGAGAAAGGTCACAAGTCAGTTTTCTTGTGAGTTACGGTAAAGCTTAACAAGTCCAAATAAAACATGTTTATTTTGAATGTCACCCCATCTCCTCTAACTCCTCTAAGTAATTCCCACAACACAATGTGCCAGATTAGGCTACTTGACCCACCCTGGCAGGACAGACTAACAGGTAGCTTCCTCTTCCCTGCATGGACCAGCCTCTTCTGTTCCTCCTCCTCCTCTGCATAGACTGGCAGAAACTCCTCTGGCAGGCAGGTAGTGACCTCTTTACTGTACTTTGCAAGACCAAACCACAAGTAGACCTCCAGCTTGGCAAAGATTTCACTCGCCGAACTTCCTGGAGACTGGAGAGACAGACAGAAAGACAACCAGTTTAGACGGAAAGGTATCATCTGTTCATTTAAAGACTTATCAGCAAGAATCATCAATGATTTAATGGACCAAGAGGTGATCGTTGATCATTTTAGAGATGCAACTATGAACTGTGAGCATAATCAATGATTTGAGAGACAGAACATGGGGTATCACCAATGGGAAGCTCGATCAATTATTGTTGAAACAAATGCCAGTGGTACAATGGTTACCTTCATGTAGAGGGTGGTAAGTCGCCCACAGTCCCGGCCTCTTTGCTCTTCAACCAATGAAAAATAGATGGAGTGGACGGGGATCCTGACATAAGCCAATCGCTTTCTTCCAGTAAGCAACCAAAGAAACACGTCTGGGATGATATTCTGGGGCTGGAGGGAGGGCAGTTATGGAAACTGGTGTCAGACCTCAGACAAACTAAAGGCAACCATTGACGGACTTGTGGTGACTTATGGTACCACTGACCTCTTTCGCTAGCAGACGAAGTCTCTTAAGGAGTTTCCTGCTATCCATTAACCGCTGTTTCGCTGTTCGCCTGGTCATCCTGCGTCTGGCCTTCACTGCCTGTCTCGCCAACAAGACCTGGAGACAGATAGACCAAGAGGCAGGTTATGGATAGGCAGGTCGATGGTGTCAGGTTGAGAGGCAGACAGATAGAAAGAGGGACAAGTAAAAACAGGCTCACTAAATTTTTCTTGATAAACTCCCTTCTGCATCTGTCCAGGTTGTTGGGACGGGACTGAGATTTCCTGTCCGAGAAACCACTGAACTGTCTGCAGAGAGACCGATGGCAGAGAAGAAAAAATGGGAAAGAGGATTGATTAGATGGGACGGAAAGAGAAACACAGGCATAGGGACAAATCAATTAAATTAGATTTGTTCCTCTCAATAGTTTTAGAGAGAGGAGACTTACTTGCAGGAAGCCACAAACTCCAGCAACACCTCCAACAAACGCTCCTTGACGTTACTCCTGGGTCTTCTTAAGAGACGCTCCACCTCATCAAGACCGATCTCCTACAAAAGAAAAAGAAAAAAAAAGTGGCCAAGGAGTAACAGTTCTAATAAGGACATTGTCTCCAGACACCCTCTGAAGGAGACTAATTTCGTCTATTTATATCCACAATCAAATTTTCCGTCACTTGCGCCATATTGTAGCAGTAAAGATGTTCTCAATGTAATCTTTTATTGATGGTTTGGAGCAGGCTGATTACATGGCTTCTAATTTTTATGGCATTGGACAGGATTTGTTATCAAAAGTGCTCTGGTTTTTAGTTAATAGTCAGAGTTGTGTTGTTCCCTAGTCTTCAAGCAGGCTTTGGGTATATGCACGAAGAGCAAAAGCCCATCGGCAGTCATCTTACAACTACTTAGCTTTAATAAATTGTCTATTTAAACAGATATCTGCATACAAGAGCAGCTTACAACGCACTCTTAGACACCGTTCGAGTATTGGTCAGAGATCCCCTATGTCTAAATGCTGTCTACAGAGGAAGCCATGAAAAGTTGGCCATTGCTCCCAGTAGCGATATCATCAGCCAATGGGATCTGAGATGCATGGCCCTAAGAAGATGCAAGGATCTCATCTGATTGACTTTACAATTGACACTCCAATTTAGCCAACTTTGAAGTAGACATATCTACATACATAAGTTTAGAAACACAGACCTAAAGAGACATAAGTACATTTCCTAATAAATGGAATCCAAAAAACAGTTGACCCTCACCAGTCTGTCGGCCATCTTGCTGAGCAAGTTAGCCTGATAGAGTCGAAAGCTGTAATCTTCAAACTGACTCCAGACAAACAGACAAGGCTTCGGTTTTGAGGAGGGGGGCTGGAGAGGAATACACTGGAAAGACCTGAGAAAACAGACGCACAAGCAGACGGACAAACAAGAATCACTGCCTTGTCATGATAAATGTTAAATGGACTACTTCCTTTGCAACCGTTCTTGAGGGAGTGTATGTGATCTTGGAACCAGTGTTGAAGAGGGAAAGACCCTTAGTTTTGGCCACAAGTTGGTGCCAGGCAGGAGGTAAGACTAAGATCAATTCAAGAGTTGAAGGAACATTTTGAGGATTTCGTAAACCTATACCTGTTGGTGTAGTTGGTATACCATCTCAAGATTTTACTGTAAATGTCCCTGAACAAACTGGAGAGATTATCTGTCACAATTGACTTGGCAAGAAGTAGCTAGGTGTTAGAAATGGGGAGATGGATGTCTCAGCTATCTTATTTGGCCAATCCAAAGCTGTGGTGCCAGTGTAAAATGGTTTGTTTGTGTAAAAGTTTGCATTGTGGGTGCAATGGTTAAATACCTGTCATACTCAGTTGGCTCAGGTCTCAAAGCATCAGACAAGGACTTGTTCTCAGGTTCAGGATTCAGCACCTCTTCTTTGTCTAGCTCCTCCTCAGACTCCAGTAGACCCCGGGCCTCCTCATTTATATCTTCCTTGCTCATACTCAGCTCTTCCCTGCTCATCCTCAGCTCCTCCTTGCTCATCCTCAGCTCCTCTTTGCTCATCCTCAGCTCCTCCTTACTCATCCTCAGCTCCTCCTTACTCTTCCTCAGCTCCTCCTTGCTCTTCCTCAGCTCCTCCTTGCTCTGGCTCTTCTTGGATCTCACAACCCTCACTGCTTTCCCGAAACTCCCTACAAGACAGAGAACAGCTGATGGATCTCAGATGCCAAAAGGGTCAGGCTCAATGATGGGCTATATCTAATGTAGAAGTAAGTTTTACCCAAAGTAGGCCCAAATACATCAACTTTAACTTATTGGTAATACATTTAGCCCTAGTCAACACATCCATCCATCCATTCATTCATTAGCCAAAGCCTTGTTTACAGCCATTTTGGACCCAGACCCAACTCAAATGTGGTCTCTAATACAGCAAAGGTATACAGCACACAATGGAGTTTTCTTCCTCTAAACAGTGGTAAAATGTTTTTACTTCCACATTTTAACATTTGGTGGTTAAAGGTCTAAATGTCCTATAAACACTTTTTAGCACTTATTTCAAGTGAGTCAATGCAGCAAAATGGTGTATAATGGATTAGTCCGAAATAAAAATAATTACTGGTAGTGTCAGCTCTTGTATCATGTCTGTAAACTAACTAGGTCCCACCCAGGACAGAAAAGAAACGTCTTACCAATGGAGAGCTCAAAGGTCACTGGCCTGTTTCCTATGCTTGGGTCCATCATGGTGATTTCAAACAGAGATGCAAACAGCAGAAAATCCTCCTTCTGTCCCAGAAAACCCTGCAGACAACAACAAAAACTTGAAATACTTCAAATTTACAGAGTTGACTGAAGATCAAATCAGAGTGTTAAAAAGTTGATGATTCTTGGCCTAATTCACCAAAAGATTACGTGGCTAAACCTGTCCAAATGAATCTTAAAGGGCCCTATCTTATTCACAAAACTAAAAGGGTCTGCAAGAACCCCTAACTGCTCTGCAGAGTAAACAGCATCAGGCATTATTAGGCATGTGCAGTAAGAGTAGAGTAGTATGCAGTATCTTGAAGAGATTTCATTTGTAAACTTTCCTCTGATCAGAAAAACAATGATGCCTCTGTGTGACTTTAAATTAAATAATCTGCAGGCTATATTAAGTCTTAAATAATACTTTGACATATAGAATATAAGCAGGAGTTCAATCAGTTTGTGGGTGTCAGCGGCATGACACTTCACCAATGCAGAGAAAAAAGGTGCAGACAGCCTTTGTCCACATTCATGCAACTTTTTGGGCATGTTTGCATCTGAATATCATTCAGCGCTTCATGAATTAAACCTCAGACTGAGCAGGTAGGGGTAGCAAAAGATGCAGAATTTTTGGAGCTAATAGAGGCCACAATCCATTATTAGTTAATCGGGCCCTGAGTCTGAGATCAAGTACATCCTGTCATTTAGGAAGAAATAAATTCAGTTGTTCTTTTCTATGCAGATGACATTCAATTATACATTACAAATTCAAACAAGGTCATGCTTATAAGACATACATTTTGTGCCTTGACAAACATAAATAATATCACGTTTCCTGACAGTAACCCTGTAATGACCCTGTAGTGAATTTTCAGTAACAGAAAAACATCATGTGATTGTAAGTATTTAACAAAAGTAGAAGTTGACATCACAAAAAATACTGATTATTTAAAATAATTTATCATTGTGATGATGATGATGGTGATGGCACCTCAGGGAATGGGTGGATCTCCTCGATCTCAACGGTGACAGCCTCTGGTACCTCAACTGCTGCTTCTCCTGAATCGCCAGCCAAACTGCCGGCAGCAACAGATCCTACAGTAAAAACAATAAAACTGATGAATAAACCAAAAATTTGTTGAGTTCTCCAACTAAGTTTCCTCAAAAAAGCCTAGCATCATTTTAACAAACTAAACTTTGACTCTGGAATCTCTAACAAAGTTTGAAATACAACCAATAGACACTAAGAAAGATAAACAGACAGCTTTGGATATCTTGGAAGGTGATATTACAATCTGAACGAGCAGGGCTGCTAGTTCCCCCCTGCTTCCAGTCTGTTTGCTAATCTATTTTAAATAACCATAACTTTTGTCTGTGCCTGGCATACAGGGAGGACATCAACATGCATCAACATGAGACGTCTTTGGAAAAAAACAATACACTTATTGTTTCTCCCAACATCTTAACATGATGACAGCAAACTACATCCCCTGCTGAGTTTCAGATTTGTTTCTAAATGTCTTCAGCTTCCCCTCAGTGGGCTGACCTTGCTGCTTCTCCTTCTTGCCGCCCGTCTTCTTCCTCATTCCCAGCTTCCCCAGTGCTCCTTTCATCTTCAAGGACACACCAGAACAAGTCACGTCACAGTCAGATGAAGACAAATGAGATTCAACAACATTCAAGTTATTGTGATATTGCAAAGGTAAAAACATCCTGACTCCCAACAGATTATTCAAAAGTAGGTAACTGCTGATTAAAACCAACATGTTGTTCTGATTAAAAAGTTGTAACATAAACTACAAATCTTAACAATTCTGCTCCAGTTGACAGTATTTCTACAGAAAGTAGAAATTACCTTCCCCAAAGCGGCTGTGTCTGTTATAACGGCAGAGGGGGAGGAGTAAACCTCGACGCAGAGAGCAATGAGGATTCGTCCACGGTAGAAGATTCCTTCACCAAGACCCTGGTTCAAAGCCTGGAGAGGATACAGAGTTAGTCTAGTCCAGACCTGATGCGTTTTGTTTCGTCTGTCTGTGTAATCTTGATTAATACATTGAAGATGCAATAAAAAGGTAAAGAGTTAAAAAAATGAGGACGCCCAGCCACCACCATTGGACTGTGTCGTCGCCACAACCCCCGCTGACCTCATTCATGCTCGGCCTGCTTCGACCTCCACCTCAGCGGCAAGTAAGTATGGACAACAGGAACTCAAGGAATACGAAGTATCGCTATACAAATAATGATTGATTGATGGATGGATGGATTGATTGATTGAGCTGTTGGCTGAATCTTCTCCTTTGACTTTCCGGGGTAATAAATAGTATATTAACTAAAAGGTAAATTGCTGATTTAAATAGTTAGATCTGGTCTGATTTACCTGGTGGACGTCTCCAAGAGTGGAGTTCTGAGGAGACCCATACAGGTTGACCCAACATGGACCAAAGGTGGGGTTAAACCCTGCAGACAGAAAGATTTTTCCCTTTTATCATGCAGATATAAAAGCTGGTATTCAAGTGAAGCCACAAACAAGTACAGGCTGTGTTTACTGTAGGATGGATATGTTAATAGACATGGCTTGAGGTGACGTTGAGTCGAGGGATGGACAATTTACAGCATTAAAAAGAAACATTAAAACCTAAAGAGGTTAAAAAAGGGCAGATGCTTTCTGAAAAATTATCAAATGTTATTCCTATTATAAATACAGGGAAATAAAAATTAAGTCCTGTTTCAGATGAAGACTGTGTTTCTCTTTTAGGTTAGCAACTAAATTATAAGTTGTACCATTCCTGGTAGGGTCCGAAATCTGCTGCAGGTCCAGGTAGTGCGTGACCAGGGCGATGTCTCCCATCTTTGCATCATCGAGAATCTGGATTCTGATTCGCTGAGCCATAGGAGGAAACTGCTCGATGAAGGAGATTTCCTCGTTCCAGACGGGACAGCTGGTGGCGCTGGCAATCAACGTCTCCCCCTGCACACACACAAACAGACACAAGGACACAAAGTCAAATCAGAGATCGTAACGACCATGATACCAAAGTTGAAGCATCGATCAAGTGTTAAAACAAACAACTACGGACTTTGTCAAAGAGCGTATAGGTCCTGCAAGAAAAAGTCATACAAGGTGACATGTCTGAGTACCTGCTGACCAGCGAAGGTCACTTTTACGTAGGGATCAATGAAGACGGTTCTGTCAGTGACCTTTGACACCTTGGCCATTAGTCCTGCGTCCATGGTTGGCAGATCCTCGGCTCTGTAGATCCGGACTCGAAATCGAGCCCATGGACGCTCAGAAGGAATCCCTCGAGGAAGCAGCAGGTTCCTGCAAGATGAACACATCAGGACCCCGACCCAGTGGAATCAGCAGCAGTAAAACCCCCTCATCATTTATTATTTGTTTACTTTTAACCATCAATCCTGAATCCATACTGTGCGGTGCATTGCGGTGTGACGCCTCTACAGTGTTTTAGTTTTGAGCCTTTAAAAATGTCCAAATATGATTGTTTTATGTTAAGCTTCAAACAGATTCCCAGAACTCTTTTGAACATATTCATTAAAAAGGTCGGACAACGGTTTTGGCACAAGGGCCACAGTAAGTGTGGACAAAATATTTTTTCTTTAAAGAGAAGTAAAAATCAGAATAGCTTACGCAGAGTGCAACAAGAGAGTGTCCTACATGGTTCACCAAGACCCATCTCAGACAACGGCTTGATACAATCCAGAACCAGTGAGATTACTTTAAGGCTTCTGTGAGGAGTTTTTATCTGGTTATGAAACAGACTCAATAACGATGCCTCCACATGAGCTACAAAAGCAAACAACCATCAACGACAAAACTGATTTTTAATGCTTACCGCTGTCACAGGGAAGATGTCAAACGATGGGGGTTAACATGTACTGTAACTCTTTTCCACAGGGGGGCGCTCAAATAGATGCAAATCGAATGTTCCTCATGTTTTCATTTTCATTTCCTTAACTGAATCCCTCATCGTATCTCATGTTATCTGTAATGTTACTTCTATTTGTTTTGGGGGTTTATTTTGTTAAAAACAGACTGAAATAAACTAGTACTACTTCAGGCAGTTCATCAAGTGTTTTTCAGGACTTACTTCTCTATGTCCTCGCTGGCTCCAGATGAGGAGGGAGGCAGACTGGGCGTGCTCAGAGCGTCTCCCTTCATCAGCACATTGATACTGGCCTTGACGTAACCCTTGATTCCTGACCTGGTTTCTGCCGGGTCCACGAGAGGAGCCCACTTCTGGTAGAATCTGTGGTCTGGAGATATGGAGAGGTCAGAGTGGACAATATGTTGATATGTTGAACACTTCAGTGTGAGCGGAACTGGTACTGGTACCTGGCTGGTTGTACACGGTGGCGATGTCGATCTTAAAGGTCCCAATGTGGGTCATCAGGAAAGCCAGTTTGCGCCTGTGGAACACCTGAGAAGGAATTACATCACAGGTGTTCAATTTGGCCACGCCCACACGTCTTACCACGTTAACAGAAGTGAAATAAAGTGGAACTGACCCTTAACTCGATGACTTTATCAAAGAGGATCTGTGGGTCCTCCTGGAACTCAAACTGGAAATTCTGAAAGAGAAGAAGAGATGAACAGCTGTACGATACTTCACCTTATTGTTCAGTACATTAGTGCACTATATCAAACTTTATTTTATTCTTCTGACCTTTACTGATCTACAGTGTATCCTTCCTGTACTGTATTTCTTTGTACAATTCTGTACTATTAACTAATGTATTGTATTTTACCGCTCTGTATAAATCTGAATTGTCGCTACAGAGACACTGCAGCTATACCTGCAGCTATAGCACCACTGAAGAAAGCTAGCACACACAAAATGATGCACTTTAACAATGCCAGGATATCTTCAACATTTGAGTGAGTGTCTGTGTAAGGACTTTGGAAAGACCTGATGTAATCGACGGCGTTTGTTCTAATGTATCCTGTCTGCTCTTTTAACCTTAAATTTGTATTGTTATGTGTTGTATTTATCTTTGGAATGCTGAATCTCCAAATTTACAATCTATAACAAATTTACCTTTGAATGTTTTTTTCTAGTTATGTATAGCGTATTCCTATCAAAGTATAACTATCCTTCTGTATGTACGGTACTGGCTTCTCTGTCAACACCGCAGCAGCCAGTATGTCCTCCTTCTAAGTTTAGATTCTGGTCCTGAATGGTCTGGATTTGTTTTGACCAGAGCAGGTAGGCGGTTTTAAGGAACCCCCTCACGATTGTTTCCGACACCCCTCGGTTTACCAGGCAAACAGCAAACCAACAGGTGTTGCAGCAATGGAAGCGGGCAAGAGAACTGGTTCAGATAGAAGTGGTTGTACCTGACCTAAAAAGCCTCTGCATGTTTCTAATAAGCTCCACGAGCAGAAATGTGCTCAAACTAGGATCAATATTGGAGATGCTTTTGAAAAAATGGAGAGAGGTTAGAACGCAGAAAGGTTTACAGACCGATGCAGAGCTGGCTAAACACTGAAGCTTCAGTGACCGCTACACAAAATGCTGCATGCACATCCACTCTAGAGAGGAGGGGGCGGGATGAAACAGCTCTCTTCTAAGTTTTAAATTTGGACTGCAGTACCCATTTTAAACACTAGGTGTCATAACATATTGCTCCTTTAACTTTTTATTATCTACTGTACCTCGTTGTAAAAAGGACAGTTGGTGGACTTCTGCGTCGCTGTGTGTTTTTTCTGCTTTCCCACTCTGATGAAAACTGCAGGGTTGATGTTTACACCGACTAACTTCTGAGCCTCCTGGATGTTTACATTCACCTGTTAAGACACACATACATGCATGCACAAACACGTGGATGATAACACTTGCAGGCTTTACAATATGACACATGGAGTGTTATGTGTTGGCTGTTATATGTGGATGGATGAACTCACCTGGAAGCTCTTGACTCTGGGCGATGCTGAAGTAACGTTTTTGGACATCGGCCTGCAACGACTACGCGCACATGTACCATACACACAAACACAGTTCAGTTATAAGAACTCAGGTAAACAGACAGACAGACAGACAGGTAACAAGATCATCAGACCTGAGCAGAGGGGTGAAGATGATGTTTGAAGCTTCCAGGTCCATGAGGTCATCATCAAAATCGTCATCATCTTCATCTTCATCTCCTGATGAAGCCCTGACCAGGCTCCGCCCCAGACGCCGGACCTCTCTCTCTAGCTGACCTGGGCGAGTGAAAGTCGGTTGACTGGAAGGGGAGAGAGACAGAAATAGAGTGACCCCCAAAATAATCGGTGACCTTTGTTTTTATTCTTATATGAGAACTAGAGGGATGGAGTAACATGAAATCTTCTTTAATCAGGTGTGTCAGAGGTCTGGGCAGTTTGAGGTGCAGGATCATGTGTTGGTTTTTACACTTCTACTGATGCATTCCCAACATTGTGGCCAATATTAAACAAACAGTATCCATATCCAGGTTAAAAAAAATTAAAGTAGGTGTGATATAACCTCTCACCTGTCAGGTTCATTAAATGCTTCATTCCTGATGACCAGAGCTGACCTGAGGATTAAGCATGGAGGAGAAACAAAATGTCACTAAAGAATTAATTGTTCAGTTTGGTTAGAGTGCCCTCTACTGGCCTGGAGGTATGCATGTATTTGCCAAACCTACTAAATGCTAAAACTTTCATACTGCCTCATATAAGTTGTCTGTTTTTGCACAGTTTTGCCAACAGTTCCCCATGGTGCTACAATCTACTGTAGATTGCAGTCAGATTTCGGAAAGTTTATGTGTTAAGTGTTTTGTGCGTGCGCCCCATGCATGGAGGCTATAGTTCTCCAAGTGGGCATCCCGGGTTCAAATCTGACCTGTGGCTCCTTTCCCTGCATGTCATTCCCCACTATCTCTCTCTCTCCCTGATTCTTGACTCTATCCACTGTCCAATCCCAAAATAAAGGATGAAAATAAACCTTTAAGAATTTAAGCACCTGAGAGGGAGTGAAGTTTGTTCTGAATATCAGCAGCACTGCTGTGATTCGGCCTGCTGCCTTGTGCCTACGTCCGAGTCACATCAGTGCATTCATTCAGAACAAACAGCATCACTCCCTTTTGTGTTACACTGCATTAACACAGCAGCTATACAAGCGGAAATAGTGGTAAACAGTAAAAATCAACAACAGATTATTCTTTAACTCAACTAGTTCCACTAAAACTAGACTGTTGCCAAGCAACCCAAACACTCTATTCCACTGCCCTCTTACTACTCTGCTGGTGTCCATGGTTACCACAGAGCAGCTACTTTTTAGTATGAACATTTACTTGGATGTTAGATTAATTTGTAACCAGTGAAACTTGAGTCTGATTGATTATTTAAAAAACACTGTCAGCTGTAAATATACTTAATAGTTCAAACCGCTCGTGATTCAAACCAACTTGAAAAAGAAACGCATAAGAGCATGGTGAACGAAAGTGACATCATCTCCCTGTAGTAGGCTACGTGGCGATCTACATGGACCATCACCTTTCCCAAGCACACTGAAGTTTAAATTGCAAATTGTATAATTCGAGTCGAATAATAATGAGACCGCATTCTGAAATAAAAAAAAGCAGTGTTTAAATTAGCTTTTTAATTTGATTTCTGATCACCAGTTGCTTCCATAACTCTGGAGTGTAAAGATGTTTCTGGAAGTGATCTTACTCATCCTCGTCTTCAATTTTTAGGAAGTCGAGCCCTTCCCAGCTTCCTGCAGTTCCCTCGAGAGGATGATACCGAACATCCAGCTCTATGTAGATCTATGAGGAAGAGACAGATGTCAACAGGCAACAATAATAAAAACAGAGTGATGGTGTGTGTGTGTGTGTTTGTGTGTGTGTGTGTGTGTGTGTGTGTGTGTGTGTGTGTCCTTACATCAGTCAGGCTGTAGTTGGCGTCAGTGAGTGGTTCCCGCAGCAACAGCCTCCCCGAGGTAACAACATGCTGGAGACTGACGATCAGCTTACCCAACAATCTACACACAAACACACACAAAACACATACCTTGTAAAAAATAACTTTGTGTGTGTGTGTGTGTGTGTGTGTGTGTGTGTGTGTGTGTGTGTGTGTGTGTGTGTGTGTGTGTGTGTGTGTGTGTGTGTGTGTGTGTGTGTGTGTGTGTGTGTGTGTGTGTGTGTGTGTGTGTGTGTGTGTCACCTGTTGGAGAAGACTTTACTGCAGTTGTAAACACTGACGGACAAAACTTCTTCCCTGATCACTTTTCCGTAGTGAGGCCAACGGAATTGCTGCACAAACACAAACACAAAAATATAACATAAAAAAAACAGATTTTTTTTTCCCATAAAAACACAACTCGTGCTTTTCCACATTCATACAAAAACACACACACACACACACACACACACACACACACACACTGGTCGCACCTGAAGAACAAACAGCAGTCTGACTCATTAGCTGCACAGAGAAACATGTCAAACAGAGGTTACAGTCAGGAAAAACACACACACACACACACACACACACACACACACACACACACACACACACACACACACACTCCATCATGTGGTCTGTCAGCAGCGTTTAAGTAAACTGACGTGGTGATGTAGTGTGTGACGAGGCTTCTGTTAACACATGTCGCAACCATATTCAGTAAACGATAATTAGTATGCTAACATGCCCACAACACAATGCTAATGTTTACTGTCATATTTTAGCCCGTTAGCATGCAAATACCTGCTGACTAGACCTTGGGCCAGGTTCCAATTTGAATACTTAAATACAACTTAATTAACAAAAAAATAAATACTAAATGTGTGCCGATAAATGTCAGGATTGGGTATATGTCTCCAGCAGTTTGTGTTGTATTATTCATAAACTTCGGTCTTTGGGTTTGATGAAAAGTTAAAAAATGATAACATGGGATGGAAATTAATTTTTGTGTTTTATTTTTCGTTGTTTTCCTTTGTAACTGTGATTAAACACTAAATGATTGGGTGTATTTACATGGACTTGAGTATCCCAGTTATGAACGTCATCCTGGTTTTGATCTTATTCAGGAAATGGTGTTTACATGCACACAGAGAAACCTGGTTATTCATATCCAAGTAGACATGCAAAATATTAGTTTCCTGGTTTCTGATTACTGCGTCTTATTTGCTCAGGCGCCAGTGATTTTTATTTTTTGTAATACAAACCGCAGAGAAAAAAGACTGTGGCACCGTGGCTGCAGACTTAGCACAATTAAATACTAACACGAGTAGCAGATATGGCTCATCCAACTCATTTCCAGCTATGGGAAAGGCAAAACTGAGTTTCTTATTCACTCCAGAAGGCTCTCTCGTTGATGCTGCTATGTTTTTTTTGTGCTTTACATCACTGACAGTAGCAGAGGCCAAGTTTGCACAGGTAGTCGGCAGTGTCAGAAACCATGGTAAGATGTACACATGCCACAGTGTACATCGAGTTTTCTTTAGAGCTCTCCCAGAGGTTTCTCAAGACCCTGGTTTCTGAACTCAGCATATGATGTCTACATGCACAAACCCCCCAAAACAGGATACTTAAAAACCAGATCAAAACAGGGTACTCAAGTCCATGTAAATCCACTCATGGGTGGCAAAAAACAAGACCAGTATGCTAAAAATAAAAAGGGTGTCCTACTTCAGCTCGTGCATTTTTTATCTAGTCTGCAAACCAACATGACCCACAGTCCTCTACATAAAAGAATGTGATCTGACACATGAAGAAGTTTGATTAATAATGCATAGTGAGCAGGCATTGTGAGGGGAGATATAAAGCCAGAGGAAGAGTGATAAGAATATGTAAAACTTATGAGGATTAAATCTCTACGGGATCATGGATGTTCTCTCAAAACCTCATAGAGATCCATCAAACAGCTGTTTGACATTTCAAACTTTATTTAAGTGGGGTTTTATCTGCATAACGTGCTTATCTGAAAGGATTATTTCTTTTTCCTGATGGATTTCTTCTTTGGGAGCCCAGACAGTCACCATGAGTTCACTAGAATAAATAGAATCACGTCAGCTGTAGGTTTGAGTGTGTCAAAGGAGCGGTCATGTGTGTGTGTGTGTGTGTGTGTACAGTAGGAGTGGTACAGTTTCCTTATCAGCTCCATTGAAATAGTTTCAATCTGAAGCAGGTACACAGCTACCTGCTGTAAAAAAAAAAAAAAAAATCAATTGAGCATCAAAAATGATCAAACATGAACTATCTCATTCAAAGCAGCTGTGAGGATCTTTCTGTTTTTGTGGATTTTGGCGCCCCCTGTGGACAAAGTGTGTAGCCCTGGTAATTCAGATTTAGTAACCCTTAAAAGTCAGACCTGGATCACGGTGATCCAGTTATTCTGTGAACAACCAGGTTAAAAAATGAGCTGGATGAAGTGATCCTTGGCAGAAAAAAAGTGGATTAACATACAGTATGTGGATCATTTTTATCCAGATTAAAACTTTTGAACCACCGCGCCGAGGTTTTAGAGCAGACAGAGCGCTGAAGACTGAGGAGTTACTCTGACACACTTCAAGTGATTTGAATCTTTGCCCACATGTAGTTTAAATATTAAACCCTGTAACAATATATGTTACCCCCCATTAAACACCATGTTACGCCATCATAGTCCTGTGCAGTGCTCTGATTGGTCAGAAAGTGTCCACAGTGGTAAGAAGAAATGTAGTATACTGACCTCGTTGAAGATGGCCAAGTTCTCACACTTCAGGACTCTGGTTTTATGGGTGAAACCTGAACAGACAAACAAACAAACAAACAGATGTGTGACATTAGCAATACTCTCAGCAGCTAACAGCTACTAAGACTACCAGATGCCTTAAAAGAGACAAAAATGTCATATTTGTAACATTGGTGACTTTTTTTTTCAGCGGGGGAAACATTAAGTTAGGAACTCTTAAGATGTTTATATAAAGGAAACTTTCCCAGAGAGCTGAGACTACATTCAGTGTCAAACATTAGTACAATCATGAAGAATTTGATGTTTTTATATTTCTATTTTTTGTGGACTGACTGTAAAAAATGTCTCATTTTCATTGATTCAAACAGTGAAAACAAACACAACTCAAGTGAAACAACACCACACTTACTCACAAATACGTCTAAAGAATACAGAACATTATCTGCTACTCCTAAATCCATCTTAAATCTGGAGTTATTGTTCATCTGAGACGAGGGACAATTACTTTTTTAATCCCGACTTTTTTAAATTCATCTTTAAACACCACGTGATGTGCTGAGAGGAGATGATTTATTACTGACAGGTTAATCCACCAAACAGGACGTAAAAGAGATCAAATGAGCTTCATGTTGACCAACCATTCACTGTTATTGAATCACTCGTTAATCATGATCAGAAATCCACTGAGATACACAACTTATTATCGAATACAAAAAGGAAACTCTACAAAGTCTGATACCTCTCAACTGGCTTTCTCCAGGCAGAATATTCAAAGGTAAAAAAAGACAGCAAAATTTAATCACAATATTTATGTTTCTATTAATAATTTAAGACATATTAAACAAGATCGTCAGCACAGTACTTGGAAGCAGGCAAACCTAAAAACCAAACAATTCTACAATTCACTTAGCAGACGCTTTTATTCAAATCGACGTACATCAGAGAGTAAGAACAACACAAGCAAGGATCTAGAAAAAAGAGAACAATGTCAGTAAGAGCAAACGATCAGCTTTGAGTCCGAGGTGCTGACAGGAAGTGACCAGAGGCAAAGCATAACATCGACGGCTGTTCTTGAGAGCTCTAATCAGTATAGAAACCATCTTAAAAGTCGTCATTATCAACTAAAACCATCGTCACTAGCATCATTAATAATATTGAGACCATCGTCATCATCATCATTAAGGTCGTAGGTATTCATGAAAGAGCTGGGTCTTTAGCTTTTTCTTAAAGGTGCAAAGGGACCAGCAAACACAGAAGTGCAATAAATCACATCACAACAACAGCCTCTTTTTAAAGTTCATACAAGTTCACAATCTCCTTCATTTACAGGTAAAAACGTTAAAGAAGATAAACAAACAAACAATGGCTACATAGAAATCAATGTGATGTGTATATATTGTATGTATAGGGCCGAGACTTTTGGATTCTTATGACAAAGTATAGTGGTTGAAGTGTGGCAGAGCACCAGACTACATATCACTGGGGTGGTGGGCAAACTGGACCTCTGACTTAGGGTGGGTGGAAGTGTTAATTGCGGGCACACACACACACACACACACACACACACACACACACACACACACACACACACACACACACATTCTGGAAAAGGGGTAACAGAGAACCCAATGTCACAGAAACACTAAAACACAGGACACAGAGAAGCACAAGGATGAGAAATTACAAATTAAAACAGGAAACACTGAAGACTAAACTTGGAAACATTAAAATAAAGAAACACACACGAGAGGAAGAAGCAACATCAGGGAAAAAGACAAATTTAAACAGGAAAATCTAAACTCTGAAAATATACAAAATACAAAACATAACCAGAAACTCATGATAATTGATTGATGGATGGATGGATGGATGGATTGAATGAAGTGAATATGTTTTGTTTTTTGTCACAGTGTAAACTGAGGAAGGGAAGCTTCTAGCTTAAACTGAAGCTTAGAAGCAACCCCATCTGTGGGCGCACATTGCGTTACTGTTCTGACCAACTTGGTGACTTAAACTTTTTCAGATGTGTGGATACCCCAAATTTGAAAAACATCCGAAAAAAGCTTTAACCTAAAGATGAAAATTATTTAAGACCAGTCGCTCTTTCTTCACTTCTGATGAAAAGATTTGAGAAAATCCTAACAGAAGAAGTCGTCTCCTCAATAAATGGTCAACGTGATCCACTTCAGTTTGCCCATCAAGCTGGCTAAGGTGTGGACGCTGCCACGCTTTTTATTTTAGACAGAGTGTATAAGCACCTTGAAAAACCTCAATCTTTGATACAAGACTTTTACTCGCCGATTTTTCCTGCAGCCTCATATTTGATTGAGAGACTGTCCCCTCATTTTGCTGAATTAGTATTGTACTGGCTCCTTCTTTCTGGCTTAGTTGTCTGAATCTGAAACGGGATCTGACTGAACAAAAACAAGAAGTATGGTCTGTAGGTTACACTGATCTGGGATTTGATTAAAGTGTTTCCTGGACTGAGGAGGTCTAAGGAGACGAGCTAGATAAATATTTACGTCACAGAAGGAGGAAGGAATAGTTTGAGGAAACTAATAGTCCAAAATATTTATTTCACTGCCACCAAACTGTCTCACCTCTGTGACAGAGGAGTGTATCTGACTGTGTTAGTGTGCGTCACTGACCTCTGAAGCAGAGTTCCACCTTCCTGTCGTATCGTCCTGGCAGGTTGGAGATCCTCCTCAGATTCACGCTGATGGACATGATGATCCAGAACACCTGAACACACCTGAGGACCTGCTCTCACCTGTCTGACTCTCTACATGGTGTCTCTCTGACCTCGTCTCATCCGCTCTCCGTTTTCAGCGGCTGGAAGAATAACTACTGTGTGTGTTTTCTGTTCAACGAGGTGAAGGGAGGTACCTCTGTGTGTGTGTGTGTGTGTGTGTGTGTGTGTGTGTGTGTGTGTGTGTGTGTGCATAACTGTACCTGAGAGCTTGTTAAAGTGTGTGTACAGTGTGTGTCTGTTCGGGCAGGTCCTGTCGAATGTTTGAGAAGGCAAATAGAGTTGCACAACTAGTTTCTTCCTCAGTGAACAAACACACACACGCAGACGCACACACGGCTGAACGGCTACCACGACACTACAGATAAAGTAAACATTGGGGTTGTGGTAAAATAAAGGATTTAGTTCCCTGATGGAGGGTGGTGGAGAGAGCGGGCATCCCTGGCTTGTTCCCCTTTGGAAAGCCAATGGTTGTGAGGTTATTCCGTTGCTTATGACTGTAACCATGGCGATGCGTAGGATGTCTTGATATAATCTAAGTGATGCACACAGAAACGGGCCTCAAAGGAGGCGATTCCATTTTTAAGATTTTTTTTAATTTTTAGATGACTACAATGTGACCAAGGAAACATTGGACATGTGGCTGCAAGAGCTGGGGATCAAACTTGAGACAACCCACTCTACCACTGACCCACAGCAGACCTAAATCTTTACCTGGATTAGGTAGATCCAGTCCAGGTGTCCAAAAGGTCAAATCCAGGTCTTATCCAGACAAAGACTTTTTGAAGAATCGGGCCATGGAAGTAAAAAGAAAGATTATCCTGAAACAGCAGCCGATTTCTCAGATGAAAAAACGATTACACACTTTCTTACTTTCCCAAAGTTGTTTTATTATTGATTATACCAGTTGGCATTCATACAGGCACGCTGTTACTGGTTATACTGGTTACATTTTACTTGGTAGAAGTTAGTTGGATGATTGAGCAGTGGAAGTGACGGCGGCGTCATGCTGATGGTCGACCTGTTAAAGATTTGCATGATGTTGATAAAAGATATGCTTTGGATCACTGTGGGCAACACTGTGAAGCAAAGCATTATGGGAGAAGTAGTTCTTTATTGAGATAAGCAGAAGCGGCATTTTCCTCTTGGTTTAAGCTTTTTGTAAATTTGGGAAAGTAATGATAGCTTCACATGATCATGCAGCCAGTTGGTTTGAAAGTGATGCTACAGCTCCTTCAGCTCTGATCTTCATCATGCAGATATTCACTTCTTCCTCATTAACATCTTACAACAAAAACAGAGGACATTTTAGCTGAGCATACTCAACATTTTGAATACTTTAAGCCAAAACAATGAAGAATGTAGGATGTGAAGGATGTAACAGCAGCCTGACAGGGACAAACTTCAATGAACAGACTCTCCTACAGTTTGGCTTTTCAGACAACATAAGGTGAAAAAACAAACACAAATATAATAAAATCCTGGTCCGCTTATTTTGCTTTTCATGAAGCTTGTAAGTGCATATTATACTTTCTTTTCAGAGAAAAATAAGTTCGATCGGAAAGACATTTGTAGTTGTTAATTTCCTGAAAGATAAATCCTGTTAAGGTTTTCAAATTTGAAGAGTTTCTAAATACTTTTGAAAGACAATACAATTCTGATTATGACTTAGACTGATATAAAGAGTGACCTTGGTTGATCTGTGACGTCAACGGGTCACAAGATGTTTTAAGCTTTTTGCACAAAAAAGTCCTACTTGTTGACTTTTAAGAAAATGGAAAAAAAATTGACAATTTTTTTTACATGAAATATGGATGTTTTGGCCTTCCAGTATCTCAGGTGGGAAGGGAAAAAGTATTTGGGTAAGAAACAGAGCAGAGAATGACACAGACGCTTAGTTGGCACTGAAGCACTGTGGCATAATGACAGCACAACTTTGTTACAGCGCTGTTGCAGAATTGCAATCTCAAGCAGTTCCTGTGATTTATTCGGATGTGTTGGACGCCGTGTGGAGTCAAATAATGTTTTTAATTAAACAAGCATCAAATTCAGAATCATGATTCTTTGAATGTGAACGATGTTTCTTCTCTTTTTTAGACAAATGTTTAAACATAAATCCTAAAGATATTATTAACGGTACGCTGACACATGACCTAATTCAGCGTCACATCATCACAAAGAAGGCGGCCATGTCGGCTCCACTCGAGACTTATAAAGTGTTTCATAGTATTCAGTTAATAAGGCACTTAACTATCAGAACAGTCTGAACCAATGAGTGCTCTTTAGACCACACTGCATGATTCTTTATTTGTTATTTTTCTTGTACATTTTAATATTTTCATTTATTGCTAATTTAAGTCAAGTTAACTTTTATTTTTCTCCGGATAGATTGCTCACTCAGTAACTCTGCAGCCTGTAACAAAGCTGAACCTTTACGCAGCTGCAAGACATTCAAGTTGTGACTTATACGTTCTTTAATCTTCTGTGGTAGAATTCAGTTCTTCCTATGAGCCAAAATGGCGGCCTTAACAAACCACTGAGTCGTGACAAAGCGGTCCGAGAACATTCAGGCTGAAGCAGCAGAGAGCGAAGAGTAAGGCGAAGTTTCTAATAAGGCTAAAGTGTTAAAGCTAGGATCAAGAGTAAACGCCATCATTCATATAATACAGTTCTCCAGCATTTAGAGCAAAAGCAAAGTGCAAAGTATTCATACCTGAACAAAGCTGAACAGAGCCACACACACACATCTGGTATGGAGTGCAGAGTGTCACCATGGTAACACATGGATCACAGGTAAGAGTTTAGCATAATTAGGAATGATAAGGGGAGGGGCTGACTTGATTGACAGCTGGGCAAGTTGAGGCTGTTTGCATCACTTCAGCTAAATCCTGTTACTGTTGCTGTGTTTGTGTTTTTTTATTGTCAGGAATATTCATTCAACCCGCCTCAGCTCCACCTGTGTGCATGCCTCTTCAGTAACCAGCAGGTGGCGTGTGTGTGGCTCTGTGACGGTGGCACATTAGTAAACGCATTTCATTTGCATAGTTAAGAGTGTAAGCAGCAGAAACATCTAAACTACATCATAATCATTCCTTTCATTGAAGAATAAATCAGCGAGATTATAACAAATATATAAAAAAAAGAAGAAGTGGAGATGTTCCTCATGGCATCCTGATTGGCTGACAGCTCCGTGCAGAGTTGTGATTGGCTGAGAGTCATCAGAGATTGGTCTCAAAGCAGTGGTCGTCTTTGTGGGTGTGGCCACAGAGTAGGGGGCGTGGTCTGATCCTGGAATGAGGTGGGCCTTCAGCATCTTGGTCTGGGGAGTGCTTGGTTTGGGTTGTAAGGCTCCATGAAGGGGGGTGGATTTAGGATTTGGGGGCAGCTTGTGGTTTGGGTGGTTCCAGGCCTCTCATTTTGAAATAAGAGACCACCTGGTTGGGAACCTCAGCGAGTACAGACTGAGCCAGAGCTTGTTGGGGAGCCTGGAGAGAGAGAGAGAGAGAGCGAGAGAGCGAGAGAGCGAGAGAGCGAGAGAGCGAGAGAGAGAGAGAGTTAGAACTATGTTCGTGCAGATCCAGTGCCCTAAAACTTTTCATGTTTTCAGTACGATGTCCTGAACTTTTTGCTTTTCTCACTTCCCACCAGAACTGTGGATAAACACAGATCTGACTTTGCACTCTTACATCTTTGAACTGCCTGAACGGGACGAACTGGACGATGTCTCTGGCGACGGCCTCCCCCACCGTCGACCTCAGCACGCCGTCGTCTCCGTCCAAAAGCTCCATGGCCTTAAAGTCTGCTGGCCCCACCCCCACGATGATGATTGACAGCGGCAGCCGCGACGCCCTGACGATGGCGTCCCTGGTCTGGTCCAAGTCGGTGATTTCCCCGTCAGTGAGGATGAGGAGGACGCAGTATTGCTGCAGAGAGAAACACAGACAGAGGTGAAGTGTGAGTGTGTTTTTGGCTCCTTTTTTGAATTTGTTATTGTGTGTTTTGTGTGTGTGTGTGTGCGCGCGTGTTCTCACAGAGGCGGCATTGGTCTGAGCAGCAGCAGCAGCGATGGAAGCAACGTGGCTGATGATGGGAGAGAAGTTTGTGGGTCCAGAGAGTCTCAGCTGAGGCAAAACCATCCTGTAGGCTTCAACGATCCCCTGAATACCTGAGAGACGGCAACAAGTTCAAAATAAATTCAAGTATTTAATAACGGTTGGGCAGTGTGTGTGTGTGTGTGTGTGTGTGTGTGTGTGTGTACCTTGGCAGTAGGGGTTGGTTGGGTTGAAGTTGAGGGCGAACTCATGGTTTGCAGCCTGTAAGACCAACAACAGAAAAGATCAGTACACCTGATCATCTTCAGGCTTCACTGTGATTGGCTGCTTAGAGAGCTGGGGTCATTTAAACTTGATCTGATTTTCTAAAAGGAAATTTATTTATTTCAAACTAATCACAATAAAACCTTCTTTATTCTCCAAATTTAGGGCAAGGACTAAAACATTACTTCAGAAGCCTATTGAATGCTGTGATTTGATTGGTTGGTTCGAGAGCTGACCTTGAAGTCCGGAGGAAGTTTGGCTCCAAAACCGAAAGCTGGGAAGAGTTTATCCCTGAAACAGGAAACAAACATAAACAAAAAAATATGTCACTGTCACATAAGAATACACCACTTCACTCCGTTTGAAGGTTTAGCATGTCGAGGTTTAAGGTTTGTTAAATGTAGGGTGTAAAGTTAGGGGGGGTGGAGTTTTGGGGTGAAGTGTCTGGCGCCTATTTGGAAGTCTTTGAAGGTTGAGTGGGAGTGTCTACTAACGTGTCGTAGTCCTGGACCACATGACCCACAGACCACAGAGCGGACAGGTACTGGTTCCCCCCGTCTTGACTCATGTAGTGGAGAGAGTTTGGCGAGCGAGGATCTCCATTAGAGCCGGTGAAGTCGATCCCAACCTGCAGTGTTCACACAACATTCATCCATGAACTCCTTACTTAATACTTCACACGTTCATTTAATTTACAGTTTATTTATTTTAAACAGATAAAGATTCATGAATAATGATCTGAGTATGTTTCACTTTGTGGTCTTCAGAACAAACATCTTAACAGTGTAACAGAAAAGTCTGCTTTTTTATTATTTTTTTCAGTCTTGTAAACTTGTAAACTAAGGTGGTTAAAAAGAAATGTTGACGTACAGTGAAGTTGATCTGGCAGCCGCCCATCACGTAGTCCAGGAAGGTGTACTGGGTCAACAGCTGCAAAGACACACACACAAACACACACATTTGAACTCACAAATAATCAATGCATTAAAATACATTCACGTCGTACGAGCCACTGCTGGGTGTGACACAGGAGGTCAAATTCTTTAATCTGTTAAGAGGGCGTTTTTTAAAATCTGAATATTGATATTTGGCTCCAGCAGTATGGTGATCGTATCACATGAGTCACTCCCTGCAGGGAACTCTGGGTAATTCGTGCTCTCACCTTGCAGCTCTTCACAGAGACGACTCCAGAGTTCTTGTAGCTCTTCTTCTTCTTCTGTTTCTCGGGGTGGACACAGTCGAACTCCACCTGCAGAACAACAAAACACAGACGTCTAATCAACTCCTGACAAACTAATCTCAAGGTTTCCAATGTTTGAATATCAGCTATGAGCTCACCGGTGACCCGTGTGCAGCTTTCTGCAGCTCAGAGACTTTAGTGGTGAAGGAACCAATCAGGTCGTGAGATCCATCGCTGTCATGGTCCGAACAGTCCACCTGCAGAAGACGAAGGAGTCCTATTACACGCCATGTGACAGTTTTATTGGTAGTTTTGAACAGAGGTGATGTAACTTTGGAAGTACCTTCAGGGGTCGTTCGAGGTCGCTGCAGCAGAACGTCTGCAGAGGAACAGTGAACTTCTTCCAGGTAGGATTCAGATTGTTGTTCACCACCTGAACACACACACACACACACACACACACACACACACACACACACACACACACACACACACACACACACACACACACACACACACACACACACACACACACACACACACACACACACACACACACACACACACACACACACACACACACACACACACACACACACGAGCACTATGAAAACAACATTGTCTTCATCAAAGTTAAATTTATCCTGGGAAGAGTGATGCTCAAGAGATTGACCTTTGTAATGAGGACCATTTAGCATCAGTATGTACCAGTTGTAAGCCTCCGTTCATGTGCACATGAACTTTTATTGATGACAGGTCAAATGGAAATAGGTTATAGATTGATAACTTAGGGTATTAAAGGGATGCTTCACCTGTCGAAACATGAATATGTATTGACATCGGGTCATATATGTAGTAGAAATGTGAAATCAATTTTTGAAGTTGGTGCCTTCTTGGCCGAGAAAAGGCAGAAAGTGTCTTTTTGGCTCATGTGGATGAAAGCCACCAAATCCCAGAATGCACAGCACCCCAGGTTTTTCTGACTCCGACCTCGGCCCTTTGCTGCATGTCAACCCCCAATTATCTCCTCCAAACATTTCCTGTCCCTCTTCAGCTGTCCTCTCCCATAAAGACAAAAATAACCCTAAAAAATAACTTACATGTTTGGTCTTATTGTAAATTGAGAAGTTATTCTTACAAGTGAAGCGACTGTTCATTGTGCCATATGTGAGACTTTCCTACAGATTTTTGGTTTCATTCCTTCTGCAGCAGATAATAAGGGAGTTCACTAATGTGAGGCGTAGTGACTAAGAACACCAGCAGGTGGAGACACTCCGTCAAATAACAGAACAGAACCAACGTCAACAGGAGCTGAAATATATTAAATGCAGGTGAATTATATCGCAATGCTCTCTGTAGACTGAAGCAACAAAACACAAATTATTAATTTAATTTAAATATAAACCGATACTGGTACTTGGTGACCACACAGTGTGTGTGTGTGTGTGTGTGTGTGTGTGTACCTCTGTTCGGTGGACCAGCTGCCACTTTCCGTCGTCTCCTTTTCTAAATATCTCCAGGAAGGGATCAGACTTTCCAAATGTATCCTGAGAAGGAAAAAGGTTACTGGTTTACAGTCTCGTTCCTCATGTAGGCTGAGTTCTTTAAACAACTTCAGTTCTATCACAAAAAAACAAAAAAACTCAAATGAAGATTGTGTTCTTTGGTTTACTCTCATTATTGAGCTACTGCATTTATGTGGATTGTATTTAATCCTGATGTCTCTGACTTACCTTGTGTCTGTCTATGTTGACAAAATGACTGTTCAGCAGAAGCTGTTCATACGTTTAAACTTGACCTCGTCACAACCGGAGAGTTTACTAAGTTCACATTTATAATATAAGAAGGAGGAGGGCGAGGAGCAGATTTACCTTCTTGTCGAGCTTTTTAGCCTCAAACTCCAACTCAACGGCTCTGTTGTCCTTTATCTCCTCTGCTGAGATCTACACACACACACACACACACTTTACTCAATTATCACTATCATGTAAATATTGTTCTGTCATCACAGAAGAGGATACTCAATGTAAAACAATATAACTATACATAGAGATACATTTTAGTATCTCTAAACACACGCACACACACACAGTGTACTTACAGTGATGGCTCCTTTTCCTGCAGGTTTGCCTTTCTTCAGCTGCAGAGGTCTGGTTATAGTTTTACTGGAAACGATCTGAAATACAATCAGAGAAGCTTTGTGTTCAGCAGTATCCATGACAACTGACTCCAATCATGCATCAGTGATGTAAGTAGTAGTAAAACATTGTGAATAAAGTGATGTAAAAAAGGTAGTCTTTCAAATTCAGACACTGGTGTGATTAAACAGGATGACTTCATATGTATTTTTCATGTTAATTATTTATTGATTTTTAACACCGTTAAGTTTAACATTCCAACTTCTGTTACTTTGACTCAAACAAAATCCTTTATCAACACCCAACTTACTGCACACTAACTCACAATCAGCCCAGCAAATAAGTGTTCCTGCCCACTTTGAACACTAGAGGGAGCTAACACTGCACTGAACATCACATACCAGAAGCACAGCAGAATAAAGTTTTGCAGGGTTGCTTTGTTGTCTTGGTGTTTTGTTGTTGTTATGTTCGCATCTACATGTAGTAAACCCTTTGTTTTAAAAAGTGCTATAGAAAAAAAGTGATTATTATTAGAGAGGGAGAGAAAAATATTTCTATTTGAGCTTCTTCGGTTTGAGGATTTCTGTTCGTCTTGGTCATAAATCTTTGTAAAAAAAAAATAATAATAATAAAAAAAAAAACATCTTCAGGTTTTTGATATTGAGTCTTTTATATGGAGAACCTGTTTGCGGCTCTTTAGTCCCTGAGGGAATAAAATGTTCAACTCTGTATGGACTAAATATTATTCTGCAGATAAAATGACAATGTAAATATTTTTGGTTTCAGCACCAACAGAAGGATCAAATCTGTTTAGGACCCTACAAACTTTCCACGGAAAGACTCAAGATGGAGGTTTGTATATGTTGCTCCACTGTTTTGATTCATCTGGTCTAAATCAAATTTTGTCTTGTGTATTTTTCTTTAATTTGAGAAAGCTTTATGCTCTCTTTTAAATGCAGATAGGAAAGTCTGGTCTTAGTCGGTGTGTACCTGTCCCAGAGTTAGCTCCACCCCTCCCAGGTAGTCATCATCACCGAGGTCAGTGCTGGAGTTGTCAATGTCGTAGACCCCCAGCTTCAGATTCTGAACGGTCTCAAAGTGATAATCGATCCTTAGACGCTGACTGAAGGACGGACTGGACGAGTTCATCAAACGTTCGGTACGACCCAGCTGACAGAGAGACACAAAGAGGAGGGCAATTACTTTAAATGACATTAACACTTCATCATACAAAGACGTAGGTACACTGTAGTGTGACTGAAATGTTACCTCTGTCCAGCTGTCTCCTCCTGTCTTCTGCAGCAGCACGCACAGAGGATCCGACTTTGAGCCGACATCTTTGTCCAGCAGGTCAGTACAGGAGACACACAGCTCCACCTTAGAGACACAGTCAGCCATCTGAAGGGGGGGGAAGAGAGAGATCTTCAGATCAGGACTCAGAAGATGCAAAGTTAAGGATCAAACCCTCTGACAACTGTAACTGAAAACGACCATTTTCATTGAGTGAGAAAGTAGCAGAATACAGGTAAACTCATCCAATTCCCTTTGTTTTCCTCTCAACATTCTCTCTCTCTATTATTCACTGTGCCTGACATAGTGAGGGGACAGTGGACCCCAAAATAAAGCGTTCTCTTATCATACTGCATACTGACAGTTATAGGCCGAGTATAGGTTTTCACTTTCTAGTATGCTGTAACCACATCCTGGTGATTCGAACATCGAGTCTGATCGGTTAGAAGAACGTGTAGTCGTCTCGGCACAACAAGAATCAAAATAAACATTAACCACCATCTACAACCACCTCCTGAAACTGCTGAGTTATTAGAAGCATGAGATATTTGTAGACATCAGACAAAAAGCTGCACCACAGGATGGAGAACGAGCGAAAACAATTAGTGGACGCGTCACACGAGGCGAAGCGATGCGAGGATGTTGGGTGCAACATTTTTCAGCAGATGGACAGCAAAAGAGTACAGACCTTCACCGCAGAATTGCTACAGTAGTTCTCTGAAGAAGTACAAACTCTACATGCAGCACGGAGAGCGATTACAGTCAGCTCATACCGCCCCTAAATACAGAAAACCACTCCACAGTAATAACACATCGAAGAAGGTCATAAAACAACAAACCAATACACCAAAAGCAATACAAATTCCTATGGGCCACCAGGACGAGGTCAGGAAAATCAATAACAGGATGCTTCACCCCTCTGCTCTTAGCTACTCCTGTTACAAAGATTAGTTTGCCAAAATCCCCCTTACAGCAGTCCCAGCAGAGTGTCTTTAATACAAACTATTTCAGGCAAAGTTATTTTACCGCCTCTTCAAAGATAAAAAAAAAAAAATCACCGGCCGTGTGTAGTGTGGTATAATATCCTTTTCTGTGACCGTCAGGATTAACAGGAGTTCTGCAGAAACAGTGATCTAATTATCTCCATCTTTAGCATTAACAGTGCTTTCATAACGATGTGTCTGAAGCGCTCTATAACACTAAGTTATGATAATGCTCGATAAGTGTTTTTATCTGTTGCACATGCAAAGGAGGCCGACAGTCCTCAAACTGACACTGAATGAACTTCCTTGTCAGCAGACACAACCTGGACCGGGCTTAGTGTTTGATGTTGGTGCGCTTTAACTCTCATTTTATGGACATTCAATTCAACTTTTATTTGTATAGCTCAAATTCACAACACCTTATCACAAAACACCGTAGATAAAGAGCAGGTCACGACTGTGCTATTTGTTATAAGTACAAACATGAATCCATCATGAGCCCAGCACTAAGCAGCATTTAGCAAAGTGACACAGTGACAAAAAGAAAACGTCTTGAACAGGCAGAAACCTCGAGCGCATCATGAACAGCCATCTTTAGAAACGGTGTGTGGGGCTTGGAAAGTGGAAAATGAAGGAGACGCAGAAAGAAAGAAAGAGGATAGAGACAAACAAAACAACAACTACAACAGCACTGAATAAAATAGATGTAAAGCTACAGTTCTCGTAATAGCTGTAAACTGATCACAGCGATGTAATGAGGCCTAAAGAAGTTGCCATACTCTTAATTTTTACCCCAAATGTTTTTCTAGAGTGGCCCGTCTGACAGAGGATAAACATTAAGGGTGGGAATCACCAGAGGCCCAACAATACCATCATGATACTTGAGTCCCGATACGATATCACTGCAATGTTAAAACATTTTGCGATATGCCGAGAATAAGAAAACATTCTCGGTTTATTCTTCCCTCTTCAGTCTTTTTATTCATACAGAGTGGGAGTCGAGCCCACAGACGGACCAACACTGTGATCAAAGTTCAAACAAGCAGCATAACACTGAATATTGTCAATTGGTTTGAATCTGAGGGGATTTAGACATCACTATACTCCACGAAGACTGAAAATATACTAACTAGAATGATAATGAAATGGGGAGGACTGATTAAGCAACGTGGTCTGTTACTGTTTCATCTGTATGGAAAACTAAATAAATGTTATGGTAAGTGATGTATAGCAAGGATTTTGTTGTTCCAGTAAAACTGTTCTCCACCAGTGAACACAGATGTAACTTTTAGTTTGTCTGTTATTAGTTATATTTGTAATAACAACCAGTGAGTGATTAAGCGTGTTTACTTTAAGGACTCCTCTTAAAAGCACCGTTCATTTGGCCTATTGGTATTTCATTTCTAGTGATTTTACCTGAACACGATCACAGTTTTTCACACTCCTTAATCCAAACCAAAACAACTTTCGTCACAAAAATTAACCTGGGATAGCACAGGTAATCCTGAAGCTGTCAGTGACTTGATATACCTGTAGACGTTTTGTTATCTCTCTAAATGAATGAGCTGAGCGAGCTGCACCTGAAGGCAACACCAGCACGACAGTGAAAGTACTTTCACAAAGCTCGTAAAAGCAGAAACCCAGTAAAACCAGTTTTTTCCCCAGTTAAACCAGCACAGTTAGCGTACTCTTGTTCTGTCTTTGTTTCATGAACACGGACTTTATGGCAAAGTATACTTTTGAAATCCCCTCAGCACGTTTTATTTTATCTTATTCAAACCACAGGAAGAAAACCAATGCGGATGGAAACTATTAACACACTGCAGACAATCAAACTAAGGCTTTTCAGCAGGAATAAACACATCTAACAGTTCAGTAATCGATACCTAAAGACTCTGATGAGCTCTTTAATCGGACTTACCGCAGCAGGACTTTGTTTTGTCTTTTAACCGTGATTTAGAGAGAAAACGCCCGTTCGTCTCCGTTTATCTGTCCTCGCTAACAGGGAGCGGCAGTGACTCACACTGGCCTCTGATTGGACAGGCAGCTACACACTCGCGTTCTGATTGGACAAGAGGATTGTCAGTCACGCCCCTCTGTACGGGGTCGACTGTTTCAACATTCCACCTTTAAACAGCATCAACACAATCAAGACTTCTGATCCGCCCCTTCAGAATAAAAGCATATGCAAATAAATATACCACAATTGTTCTTCAAAACAAGTAGACTCGTCCCCCCCCCCAGTCATCTAATGTAATCTAAGCAGCATTGCGAGGTAGTGTCATTTTAAAGTACAGAGCAGCAGCAGTGTTTATACACCCTGTTAATGTACTACAAGATCAATGTATCGTATTGTTCTTGATGGTTTATTATCAGCCTATTATATGCAGTCTTTAATTCATTCCGTTTTAAAGTTATCCAATTTCCACCACCATGAATTTAATCCATATGCTACTTTAAAACTTTACTTCTCCACCGATAGAGACGTCATACGGTTTCAAATTTCTGTGCTTTTATGTTGAAGGCCATACAGTCAATCCGGAAGTTATGTTGCTGAAGCAAAAAGTACTCAAGGTGTGTGTTGAGGCTGGTGAGGAGAACAGAGAAGATCAGAAAGGAAACAGGAGTTTCATAAGTTTAAAGTAGAACTGTAGAGCAAAGATAACATCATGAACACAAACCAACCTCAAGAGAACAAACACCTTTGTATCTTTTTCACATCCTTTGCAGCAGACTCTCAGTGGAGTCAGTGAAAAAAACAGCAGAGCATCACATCACAAATAAGAAAAAGGAACAGGAGAGATCACAACATAGAAAAAAATCATAGTCCTGGGAAAGGAAAACACACATAACCAGCATGTAAACAATGTGAAACATCAAATCACACATTCGCACACAAACACAGGCTTCTGCCTCAGCCACATCTGACAACATCACATCGCCCTCGTTCTCGGATGATCCATCTTTTGTTCCTTCGATGATCAACCCTGCACAGTCTCCATCATCTTTACCAATTCACTCACTTTAAACTCTGTGCAAATCCCAAATCTGTTGGACTGAATTTCATGAAGAGCCTTTACAATAGCAAAGTTTAGAGCTTAAACTAACTCAGGCAGAATAAACCATATAGGACAGTGTCAGAACAATTGAAAAGACAAACAAAGTTTGGCCTCTGAGATATAACCTGTGAGTGAATTGAGATATAGCCTATGAGTGAATTGAATGTTAAAGATTTCTTCCCATTTCTGGTTTCTTCTTTTGTTTAAATAAATAATGTTACTGCACTTCAAATACCTACGGAAGCCCTGAGTGGACAAACATACATACATTTTATTTTACCCTGTGATTTATTGTACTCCGTGGGTTCTGATTGTTTTCTGAAGACCTCAACTTCTCGTTATCTTGGGATAACGGTCCTGCTTTGCCTGTACTAACGAGTTAATGTCTAGAGATCTTGAGATTGTCTCGTTATCAGGGGAAAGCCAGCCCTGTTACCCCGATATCACAAGATTAAAAAGACCTGATCTCGAAAAAACAAGCAAAATGTATTTATCAAAAAAATATTTACTGAGTAAAATAAAATGTATGGATGAGTGTCCTCAGAGGGCTTCTGTAGGTACCAATCTAATTTCTAAAGTTTTTATTTACAGTCTTTTGGTAAAACAGGATTGTTTTTTTGGAGGATATTATATAATAGTTTTGGTTCAGTGCAGACTGGCTGATTTGCTGATACCTGATCCCAGAATTACAGCTGTATGAAGGGAGCTAACTAATTCATGAGTCAGTATTGAAAAAGCTACACGTCATAATCTTTAAGGAAATATACTGGCCACAATTTAACATCTCAATGTAAGCATCTGCAGGTCATTTTACACCAACTACCATGTATCAACTAGAATGCATCAGGCATTAATTATCTGCTTCATGTAAACACACCTCTCTTTTCCTCACTCATCAAATACAATTTGTGATTTTTGGTCACTTAAGTTAATACCAAGATTAAATTTAATGTCTAATTTATTCTGTCTATAAATTGACTCATGTCTTGTGATTTTAGTGAATCATTTTTCAGTCACTCACCTGCAAATCTTGCCTTCTCTTTGACTATTGATCAGACACACACAC